ATGACTTCAATGACAGGACTGGCTAGCACAGGCATGGGAAGCACTCTTATTCAGGACTGACGAGGGAGCGAATGGAGGGCAGCTGGAGTGATCCACACGAGGGCTCAAACGAGAGGTGAGAGTAGCAGGTGAGGCTCTGTATGGCCACACTAGGGAAGGGACAGGGGGGTCAGGCATGGCAGGAAATGACACACAAGTGTGTGTGTTTGTTGATTTTTTCTTGTTTTTAGTCTTTAGTAGATACTCTTGAGGTAACTTGTCTGCTTCTTCTCTTGTTATTACTGAAATTCACTAACATGATACACTGGGAATTGGCTGCACGACCCATGTTATTACACAAAATGCTCATGACTCTGCCCTCCTGTAGACCTGGGTCATAACAAGCCTAAAAATCATAATTAATTGCTAGGTAAAATCCCTGTACCTTATACGGTTTTCTGAGTTGATCCAAACCAGTCTGTCCAAAGGGAGGACGATCGCTTTTAATCTTCAGCCACATCCCACAGAGCAATATATCTTCTGGTAATGTTAACCCTTCATCACCAACATGTGGCATTCAGTTTCAATACCCAATAGTCACTTCGAGCTGAACTGGTTGCCACGGCCGTTTCTAGCTATTATAGCTGCTAAGTTTGTGTGTTACATTTCTATCCACTAAATTGCCAAATTGCATGCTACTTCCTCATTGTTCATTCAAGGTCTCGCAAAGAGGTCATATCATAAGCTCTCCCAGTTCCCAAACATGGTTCCCTCTATGCTAACCAATTTGATCCTGTTGTCTCCGTTCATTGCTTTTCTTATCACATCTCCACCAATGGCGCTCGGCGATTGGCCCGTTTTCCTCTGTGACCCACAGTCCTGGCGTCACGGCTGCCGGCATGTCGACCAAAATGGAATGAAGTCCCCGAGTTTCATTTACTCCTCTGTGAGCGTGGTGGCGCAGAGAGTGCTTATCGCACAACGTTACTATTTTTGTATAATTTTTGCTTACATAATTTAGCCTATATGTCGAGAAGAAATGAGATGTGTTTGAGACTGCCTTGTCTTTTAAGATAAGACAAAGTGAAAACATAAAAGAGAGCGTAAGTGGTTACTTTTATCTTTAATCAATTATTAAATAAAAAAAAAACCCTTGTCAGATTGAAATGGACACCTGGGTGCGGAAAAGGGAGACGATGCTATATTTAACCACTTACTACAAAGGGAGTCAGATGTCTGTGATCAGTTCATGCCGAGTAGCGGGTGGGCGGGGGGGAACCTACGCAAAGAGATACGCTCAGATAGCCCCGTCACATTTCGGCATCTCATTAGATGTATTTTAGCCTAATTAATAAAGCTCCTTCCAACAGCAGCAGAGGAACCAGACTCATGGCGTACGTCAAGCTCAGTCAGAGCCGGGTCCAATTACATGGGGGGACCGGCAGTGTCACATCCGTCGGGAGAGAAGTCCAGTCCGCTTTGGTCGCTTGAGCCAGCAGGGAGAGCGGGAGCATCAATGGATACTTTGAGTTTTTTAAGATTCTTTTGTTTTTTTGGAGCAGAGATTGGCGGGAGTTTTGAACTGAATGATCGGATCATCTTCGGGTGGCTGGGTATGAGAATTTAAAAGTTTTAAAATTTTAAAATCTCCACCAGCCACTGATGATGGTTGCCAGTTATTTCCATTCGTTTTCGTTTAAGTCGCTGTGAGGAACAGCAGCACTTGTGCTGCAGGTTTTGAATGGAAGTGCAGTGAAATACAATGCCAAATGATGAACTCCCTATTATTCCGTTTTGAGTTACAAAAGGACTAAAACTGAAATCGACAAAACTTGATGGGGAGCCCAGTGATGACACCTTAATTTCAAAAAGAGGTCCTCTAACCTGCAGACGGTGGGATTGTCAAATTTGTAGATTCAGCATTTACATCCAAGCTTGGTTAAAACATGTTTATTGACTTTCACAAGCAAGAGAATCCAAAACAGAGCACCCAGAACCGGACCATCCATCTACAATGGCAGTTTTTCTACTTTATAGCCCCTGAGACCATTTCCCAACCTTGTCCTCTGGGACCCACAGACAGTTCACATTTTTGCTCCAGGTCTCAAAAATGTGGACTGTCTGGTTACAAACTGGGAGGGAGCAAAAACATGAACTATCTGCGGGTTCCCGAGGACCATATTTGGAATCACTGCCTTGGACCAGTGGGCAGCAGACCTTAAAACCAGTGTGTTAACTGGATCTGCGGTGCTGGGATGAGGTGCAGGAAAAGCAAACTAAAATGCGGGATATTGGATAACCCGGAACAGGAAACAGAACATGGAGGTGACACACAAGAACACAACAGCAAACTGTAGGCCTGCTGCGGGATTCCGGCTAAGTGACACCACAAACACAGAAGCAAAATACTGGCTGAGCAAACCCATGATGCTCAAGACACAGACCTTGCCCAGTTACCTGATTGTGACGCAGCACTGGTGTACTACCTGCGGACCATGCAGACATCTTAGCAGATGAGTCATTAAGGGAAAACATTTAAAAATCCCTTGCATTCATTAAAATGCTAAAGCTGCACGGAGAACAAATGAAGTATGTGATTAAAGGTTCCAAAAGGGTCTGGTCTTCTGCATCCCATCTGTGCAGAATGGCATGGAACAATTGGCTGGGGATGAAGCTCGCTAAATTCATGTGTTTTGGGTGACAAGGGTGTAACAGGCCGGTTATATTCAGGGGGGTGAGTGAAAGCTGGGATGTGCAGGGGGAATAATCGGGTCATATTCAACATGACACCCCTGTCTTTGCCAGATGCAGGCAGGACTGGGCTGGGATTAAAAATCGGCCCAGGAATTGGAGGAGGGGTCCCGAGCGGGTAGGGTAGCTGATGATGACAACAATACATTTTCCTTACTGGGTCAGGGTCCCCAAATTTGGTCAGCCCACCTTGAAAATACCTATGTTGCAAGATGACCAGTCCTCCCCTGAATGCAAGTCTCAAAAAAAAACATGCAGTCCTGGATTATTATAAACAGAAAATACCTTTTTCCCCATTTTTTAAAGTGCTAAGGAGAATTTTGACTATCTAATGTCCAAAATAACAGTTAAAATAAGAGCTGACGTCGTTTTCCTTTAATACATGGGTGCTAGCATGCAGTATGTTTCCATAGCTGAAGGAATCATTTTAACGGGACTAGTAGGGACAGAAGGTAGGGCGACCTTTCAGCAGATGAAAGTACAGACAGTCTCAGGTTAGTTATTAAATAAATAATATTGGTCGTATGAACAATATGTCTGGACACTAATATTATCCAGCATAAAATATGACAACAACAGCAGGGCATTAATTCTCGCAATTTTGCCTTTAAGTAATAAAAGACTGTGTTCTGCGTGCCAACAATATTTAAAAAGGGGGGAATGATTTATTGACTGATTATATATATATATATATTTATGACAAGGAAATGAGTGCTGACAGAGCTGACGAAATCTTATTAGAATTTCACCTTTTCTGACATAATAAAAAAGTCATTATTTAGCCAAGAATTAGCATGCAATATACTCTCCGTTCCAGTGATCAGAGGGCGAAGATTCTGACAGCAACTGACACATAAAAGGCAAGAAAAAAAAAATTCTTCATGAGCGGAAGACTCAGACGCAGCCTGTTCCCTGTGTGAAAAAAAAACGCCAGCAAACTGCCAGAGTGTAGAACTGGAAGGGATGAAATGTCCACTTACACATGTACACCCACACACCATCCAGCGCACACCAGAGCCGAGATGATAAATCGCTCGTGTTCATGAGAAGCTAATCATAAGCAGAGAACACCTGTTTCCGGGCTTTAATCCGACAGCGTTCTGTACGAAACAAATACATCGTAAGCAGTGACACCTGTTTCCGTCACGTAATCCGGCAAGGGGTAATAAACACACAAAATAATCAGAGGTCTCTACGGGTCCTTTTGCAATCAAGACTTTTGGAGGAATATTAGGACATAAAAGCAGATGAGCGTCAGAGATGGAAACGGGCGATAAGGGCGTTATGAGGTTTTTCGTCCGCCAGCCAACAACAGACCTAGTAACACAATACAGTTCAAGAGCCAAATTGACATGAGTGATATTCGAGTCAAGAATAGGCCTCCTTGCTCTGCCTGAAAGCCCAGCAACAGCATTTCCTGTAATTCAAATGGACCTCATTTAACTGATGGGCCCAGGAGACTGACAGTCAGCCAAAGAGCAGTTGTAACTTTCTGCCATTATTATGCAGACCTATCTGAGCCTTTTCCAGCGTGCCACACTCTGCTTGCTTGGTGTGAGGGTGACATCACTGCATGCCTTACCTTTGGAATATCTGTCATACAAACTGTAATGTGCCGGGGAGATGCGAGGGGTTACAGCACGACTCAGTGGGAAAACAGTATCATTCTCAGCTCCTGTCTGATACAGCGGGGCATGTGCAGCCAAAGTCACAGCCACTTTCAGGCACTTGGGTCTCTCAGTAGCAGAATCGATCTTCCACATTAAGTTACCATGGTGCCATCTAGCGTTTCCTGAGAAAGGCATTTGACAAATGTAATCCTGGATTCAATGTGAATGTAAGCCTGAATAGAAGCTTTGGCTACAGGTACTACTGTTTATTAAATCTATCCATCTTCTATCACCTCTTATCTAATACATGGCTGCTGTTAGCCTAGAGTCTAACCCAAGGAGAACAGGAGACAAGGCGGGGATATTTTGGCAGGCATGCTAGTCTATCACAGAACACACACAAACTCACACACGATGGACGATCTGAGACATTAATTCCCCTAAATCGCATGATTCTGGCTGGAGAGAAGAAATCTAAGCAAACTGGGGAAAAATATGCAAACTCCACACGCACACAGCTGGAATCAAGCCCACAGCCTTGACTGTGTGAGGACACAGCGCAGCTCACTGAATCACCAAGTCACCTTTTTATTATATGAAGACATAAAAACACATGACTTGACTTGACAGTGTACAAAATGCATACCAACAGTTCCATAGTCAACGTCTGCAAGAGACTGAATAGCCGTTTTGTTTTATTGTACCTTGGCATGTCTTTTCAGGGTATACTGTGTACACTGTGTAGTCTTAAGCAACCTTGAACAGGCTGAATTTTCATCACTATTCACACAAGAGGAAGAACAGGCTTTCTTATAATGTTCCAGTTAACAAAAGAATCTACTAAATAGATGCATGCTATAATCATAAATTTTTTAAACACCTCTGAGGAGATGGAGAATTAAAGAAAATGTAGTCTATTCCCCATGCACAATTAGTATTTCAATGGAAAACCAAACTGCAGAAGACTTAGGCTGGAATCTGAAGTACACCAGCCTCCCCCCCCCACCATATCCAGCCATGACTATAGTCAGGGTGCCATTGAAATATAAAGGACAGCAGCCTACACAAACCCTTCACCACATGGCATTTTGAGTATCTGTGAAAAACAAAGCGCTTTCGTTGACATTTCGGTTACAAAAAGCTTTTGACTCGATGACTCTGCGATCGCACAATATTCCACTAATGTTAAAAGGTGTAAAAGGTAAGTACACAGTGAGATAAGTATTCATAAAATGTCAAAATAATATATAATAATGTCAAGATAATATGATAATATAAGCAAAACATTTTATTTCTAATAAAACAATGTCTATCTGGTAGACGATTTGCTTATCATTATTCAAATTTAGATATAACATTGAAAAAATGGTAGTGACCGATACGTATTTATCACTTTAATATTTCCCTTGGGTTTGGAAAAACCTGTGAAAATAAGTTCAAACATTGGGCATGATGTGGCACGCTGCCAGACTGAGCAATTCCATCATTTATTCATGCACATTTCAAAAAATGTATCCACATGAGTAGGGATTCTTTTGAACACTCCTAAATCCAAAGCATGTATCCATCTGAGAGATCATGTGAATGATGGCATCCATTATGTTCATTCTTGCGTTTCCTTAGCGATGTTTTCATGCCGTAAGCTATATTCTGCACCCACACAATCAAATGAATGCTTGGGCCCAGCATCCAAGGAAACAATCAGAGAAGTTGTTGTATTCCTTCCATAGAATGCAAGGACACGTGACACATGCCGACGCCTCTCCCACTGTACGAGGAGGGCGCTAAGAGTAGATCGACCAATAGATGACGTTAAAGAGGGCGTACGCACCGGGGAAGATGACCCTGGAGTACTTATCAATGGCGTGTGTGTCAATCCACATACTCATATAGCCCCAAGATGTCTTCACCTGGGCCCTGGTCTGTCCGTCACTCAGCACCAGGTGCGCTAAAGTCCTCTCCTGTCCGTCACCATAGTTCCCAGTGGCGTCGATGTCAATGTCACTGTAGCCAGCGCTCAGCATCACAGGGTCGGGGTGGGAAATGCCACAGGTGCAAGGCAGCTAAAGCAAGAGAAAATAGACAACTATGAAAGCAAGGGGGCGATCTGTCAATGCATGCAAGAGAGTCTACATGACCTTTATTCTCCGCAGTGCTGTATTTCCAGTTATTCGTGATATCTTCATGTTCAGTACTGTCTTCAGCAGTCACAGAAAATGTTTAAGGCTATTTATCTGGGTAGTAAGTGTATATTTGCTCAGAAAGAAACTCCATTTAACATTACAACATATATAATAGCAATAAAAGCTAGTAAGAATTTCTTCTGTTCTCCAAAAAGTTACTGATGTCTTGTTGGATGGCTAGTTACCAAACCTCTCCCTGGGGGCACCCCAGCCATTCTATGTAGTCATTACATTTCACAACCAGCTTACTTAAATAATTCACTTAATTAATTTAAAAATCCTATGAGGAATTGATTAGTCATATCAGGTGGAGTACTAGTTGAGTCAAAAAATATACAGGCGTATGGGATTGTTGCCACAAATATTGCGGTGGTGTTAGAAGAGCTTTTGAAATGTCTAAGCTGACACACTGACAGACATATTGTGGTTTTACATCAAGAAGATCTCTTAAACCTCGTTATATTTGACTGTCTAAGACTTTTTTGCACAGCACTGGCTATGGTCTGCTTAGGGGCCATTAACTACAGGTAGCATATATATACTTTCCAATTTATGATGGACAATGGGCAAGAAAAGCACATCATATACATCTTAGAGCTTTTTTACCCTGTCTCGTAGCTTCCGTTCTTTACGTTCCTGAACCGTGGTCAGGTAGTTGACGGCGGCGTATTCTATCACAGATAGAAAGACGAACACGAAGCTGACCCAGAGGTAAACATCTACAGCTTTGATATAGGAGACCCTGGGCATTGAGGCGTTGACTCCGGTGATGATGGTGGACATGGTGAGCACAGTGGTGATACCTGGACACAATCAAAAAGTACGGGGAATCCCTTGATTCACTAAAACATCTTTAGTTCCTTTGACAGATAAAGAAAACATAGCCCTTTATGAAAATACAGTCAATAACATGAAAGCTATGTGTGTAGATGGAGAGGAGGGGTATGTAAGACTGAAGTTGTAGAAAAGCAGTTCTCCTGGAAAGTCAGGCATGTGTTCTATGGACTCTTGAAGGACCTACTGACCTAACGGCACCCTGGCAGGTACCGCCCTGCGGTCTATCCAGAAGGACACCCAGGAGAGCATGACCATCAGCGTGGCTGGGAAGTAGGTCTGCAGCAGGAAGAAGAAGATGTGCCGACGGAGAGTGAAGTGGATGTAGAGTCGATTATACCAGCCTGGAAGGAAGGAGAAACAGAGGAGCTCGTCGCTCTAATGCATGCATTTCAGATTTCAGCAAAGTAACTTCTAGGTGCATCACCAGATGGGAACAGCAGTTCCTCGGTACCTGTGCTGCTGTAAAATGCAAGTTTAGTGGTTGTGTGGAACTTCTGGATGAGGAACTGGGATAGCGATATTCTGTCATCGGTCTTGAGGGATTCATTACCCTTCTTCCAGTACAGCATGAGGTCGTCGTCGGTGTATGCATCTAAACAAAAAACCCAAGAGGGAACGTTTCAGCAGAAGTTGGGTGGATGCAACGTGATGAAAAGGACAGAATGTGGTGGTCAGGAGAGACTCACAGCTTTCGATCTCCAGGGAACATGTTTGCGTGTCCAAAGGAAATCGACTGAGGTCCATGTTGCACATGGAGGTGACCGTGATCCTTTGAAAACACAGTGATATCAGCAACCAGTACAGTGAGTTTCTGATATGTTGGAACCAAATGGAAGCAGCTCCACAGTTTTACAAAAATCCCACCAAAACGTACATATTAAAGCATATAGTAACTTTTCTTCTTTTTTTCAGCGTGGTTTTTAGGAGATCTCAAACAAAGACATTTTCCAATTGCATATATTTTTTGCCAAGGCAGACAAAATGCTTGAGCATATTGTTGGGATCCAACTTGTATCATAAACAGAGTGTCACAGAAAGTGACCATCATCAGTTAAAAGCAGGAGCACAGGAAAGCACCCAAGATGTACCAATCCACAGCACATGCTGGATTTGGGTTTTCACAGATTAAAATCTTAGATTGAGAGTGTTTTCTTGATTTTTAATGTATTTTTTGCTGTTCTTCGGTTGTCTTGTCTGGCCAGAAATCTATGCGGGGGTTTGCGAAGCTGCTTGTTCATTTGACTCCGCCGCAGTACATTTCCCTGTCCGCGGCCGCGTCATAAAATCCCGCGCGCCAGCCTCCAACACTTTCCTTGGCCAGTCTCCCAAAAACACAGGTGGGTTGTCCTCGTCCACACACGAGAAATGTGATCTCCTCGACTGTATTGTTACAACACACGATGACACAATGAAAATCTCTGCGGCAATGTATATATGTGTGTGTGTGTGTGATAACACACACAAACACAGACACACACACATATATATATGAAAAATGTAATGAAAAAACCTAAAAATGCAAAGACTCTTGTATTTTGTTTGCTTACTTATGGTTATTATTCGGGGTGGCCAGGGGTTAACATTGTCATAGTTAGCATTAGCATTTTTCCCATAGAAATGAATGAGCGGTCCCCAAAAAGATATGATTACAGGATTTTGTGTGTGTGTATATATATATATATATATATTTCCATGGCCAATGCTGAGGTATTCCCAGGCCAGTTGGGAGATACGATGCCCCCCCAGTGTATCAGGGTCGGCCCTGAAGCCTCCAGTAAGTGGCATGGTTCTGGATTTGCGATTATAATAATACTGATGTAATAGTAACAAGACCTAATTAGCCTGAAGACTTACTCTACAGGGCAGGTTTATTAAGTTTACAATATGTTTATATGTCACAGTATGTAAGATAAGACTGGGCCGTCTGCTGCAACCCGTAACAAAATGGATTTAAAATGGAGAGACGAACGTGACAGTGTGTCTCATTATCTTTTGCCATCTGACTGGGCATTGGCTAGCGGTTACCTTAAACTGTAGAGCACATTTCCATCTGGAAACACACGGAGCATGACGTTATCAGTGGTTGTGTCGTGGATAAAAGACCTCTTAGAGTGGACGAAGAACATGTCAGGCACCCAGATCTTCTTCACCAGCCGGCTGTCAAACGTCATGCTCTGGTTGGTGGTGCTCGGGAAGGAGAGACGCTCGTCCTGCCAGTAGTGCCTCAGATACAGGGTCATGGTGAAGTCCTGAAACACATCTCCGTTATTGTTTTGCTGCCCCCTGGTGGCGATTAAACTAATACCAAACTGCACACAAAAAATATTTTAGATAAGAAGAATTTTATTGATTCCAAGAAGAGATTTAAACCCCCAACCCCGTAGGTGTGAGATAACAGTGCTACCCAATGAGCCACCATGGGACCGGGCAGGTCATTCCCATCTTAAAGCTTTGTTTCTATTAAAATATGATCATTTTCCTTTATAAAAAAGAAATAAAATATTCTTAAGTTATGTTACTAGATGACATTTCCAAAATTCCTGATAATTACAGCAAGATAGTCAAAACGCTTACCATGTCAACTTCAGAAATTGTGTCAAGGCTTTCAACTTGAACATCTACCCCAACTGGAATTGCAGGCCCTACAGTAGGATGAATAAATGCTATTTAGATTCTAAGGCTAAGACGTCAGCATTTAAAAAGATAAAAGGTCAAAAATTCTCTCAAAGAGACATTTATGCTGTACAGCCAACATTAACTTGTACAATGTAATCAGGTCACAAAATGCTCTTTTAAAGTTTAAAAGAATATTCAGTCCTGCGTAGCAAAAGAAAAGTTCGAAAAATGTCACATAAAAGGAAAATGCCAGCCCAAACAAGCTTCTAATTAAAAAATTGTAAAATGAAAATCTGCATATCCTTAAGTGATGTACAACTTTAAGTCATGTTTAAAGTTATACAAATGCCAAATAAATGGGAAATGCCAATCTAGACAAGCTTTTAACTAAAAAACAATCAAAGAAACAGAGTAATATGACCTCACCTCCAAACCCAGGTCTCATTGTAAAGTCATGGTCATCTATCCTCAGGAGCTGCTCTGACTTCATCACAGAGGTTTTTGTCAAATCCAGACTCCTCCTCAGGATAGGACTGTGAGGTATGAAAAAGGCATTTCTCATAAACCGTTGATGATTTAAGACAAGACAGATTTAACCATAATTATATTTACAGCCTTCATGACAATTATGCCCTCCTGCTGATGATTCAGAGCATTACAATTACAGCAACCTTTCCTGACATCCACTTACCTGCCAGATTTGTGGTTTTCTAGCTCCAGCTTTACACTTTGTCTCCTCGATCTGCATGTTTAAAGCAACAAAACGTAAACGGCCCTTCTAAACAAGAAATGATGCTTTGTGCTGTGTGGAATGACAAAAATCTATTCCCCAGACAACTCTGCCAACCCCTCCACGAATCCCTACTCCTGCCACATCCACCACCTTCTACAATTTCTAGAAATGCTGGCCGGTGTGCACTAAATGGACAAAAGTATTGGGACACACCTCTTAGTCACTGAATTCAGGTGTTTCATTCAGACCCATTGCTACAGGTGCATAAAATCAAGCACCTAACCATGCAGTCAGGTTTACAAATATTTGTGAAAGAATAGGTCGTTCTGAGGAGCTCCGTGAATTCAGGCGTGGAACTGTCATAGGATGCCACCTTTGCAACAGGTCAGTTTGTGAAGTTTCTTCCCTGCTAGGTACTCCACAGTCGTGTAAGTGGTACTATTGTGAAGTGGAAGTGTTTATGGAGGACAGAAACGCAGCCATGAAGTGTCAGTGGGGTGCTGAGGTGCATAGTGCGTAAAAGTCACCAGTACTTTCTTGACTTAATGACTACAGAGTTTCAAACTTCCTCGGGCATTAAGCCCAGCTGGATAGACTTCCATGGCTCAGCAGCTGCATGCAAGCCTCACAGCGCAGTGCTATGTGTTGGATGGAGTGACAAATCACGCTTCTCTGTCTGCCAGTCTGATGAATGAGTCTGTGTTTGGCAGATGCCAGGAAAACATTACCTGCCTGACTGCATTGTGCCAACTGTAAAGTTTGGTGGAGGAGGGATAATGGTATGGGGTTGTTCTTCAGGGGTTGGGCTGGGCCCCTTAGTTTCAGTGAAGGGAAATCTTAATGCTTCAGCATACCAAGACATTTTGGACAGTTCTACATCTCAAACTTTGTGGGAAGAGTTTGGAGATGGCCCTTTTCTGTTCTAGCTTGATTGTGCCTCACTGCGCAAAGGAAGATCCATAAAGACATGGTTAGGTGAGTTTGATGTAGAAGAACTTGACTGGCCCCCATTGAACACCTTTGGGATTGACTAGAATGGAGATTGCGAGCCTGGACTTCACGTCCAAACTCAGTGCCGGACCTCGCAAATGCTCTTCTGGCAAAAATCCCCACAGACACACTCCATAAACTTGTGGAAGGCCTCCCCAGAAGAGTGACAGCAGTTTTAGCTGCAAAGCAGTGGTGGCTCCTGGTCAAAATTTTTGGTGAAACAAACCACCCTCCACCCCCGGTGTGCACTGCAAAACAAACTCCGCACCTTGCCTTGCCCCCCCTTTGTCATGAAGCTGACAAAGCCATACAACAATCACAAGGACACACACATTAACCCTAATATTACAAAACAATACAGAGCCTATACTACTACTACAGAGAAAGAACCACCCTAACATTCACTATTGCTGCCTCACACCTTCTTCCTCCTGCTCTACCCTCATAGTATTAAATCACCACAAAATATAAAAATGTGTATATTATTGTACATATCTTACAAATAAGTAATAGTGATGTTTATTTCACCAATACATAATTTACAATATTGCTAAATCCCAAGAAAACACATCTAACCTATTCCCTCTGCCTTCACACATAATTTCTCATAAGGAAAAGACTGGAAAGAATCCTGTAAGATGTGATCAACAATGTTATTCCGTTCGTCTCCCAAAGTGTTGGTGAGTGGATCCATCTCGCACAGGAGCTAGCAGCTATGGAAATAACAGGCAAAAAGGTAGCTGTCGTATTTCCCCAACGATATGCCGCCTCACATTATAGGCCGCTCCATTCATTTAGTGAACAAGCACTTATTATGAATAATAAAACAAATCTCACATAGACAAGACACCTAAAGTCACAAATCCCTCTAATTCACAGAAAAATACCATAGCTTGAAAAATTTTAAAATTTTTGTTATTTATGAAGCTTTCAAGCTGCCCTTACACTCAAGGTCAGGTGCTCAGTACATGATTGGCAGTGATTGGCCACAGTGTTGAATCAATCATACTGAAGCGGTCAACTACCCTATCACAGTAGGCAGTTACTTGTTTCACGGGTGGGACTTATTTGCCACAAGAGTCCATTGAACTTGGAAAATCCACCAGCCGCGGAGGTCTGAGATGATTTATATTGAAACTAATGGGGGAAAATATCGACTGGGGTGAAGCTTGTTTCACTGAAATTCTCTGTTTCACCGTGGTTCGGGTGGCGCTGTTTCACGTTTTTGACCAGAGCCGTATACCGTTGAGGAACTGAAATTAGGAGATGCACCTTATTTTTATGAGCATTTTGTGGTTTCACACCAATAAAAAGTGATTGTCATGAAGATTATTTTTTTCTTGGTGAAACATAGTGCAAGCTGGAGATACACATTGAAGCAGATAGTGCAAACAAAAACAGTGTTCAGCCGAGGTACCCAGTAGTGTGTGAAGGGAGGGGGGAAATGAATCCTAAAGTAGGCCCACGGTGGAGGGGACAAAGCCGTTAGCTGTTCCTCAGCCTAACCTTTAAATTCCACCATAGACATATTATGCCTTATCTTGATTTGAACAAATTAATTTACTACCGTAAAACCCATAGTATTCAGGCACAGGCAAAGTATGTGCAGATGACATTTTTTGACATTTTTTGTTACCTTGCTGACAAGTCAAGTTCCTGAGGCTGCCCTTTGCCACCACTATGCACCTATGCTTCAATTTTGGGATAATTTGTCTCGAAATTTGACCAGGTTCAGATCTTCACCCTTGAAATGTGTCTGCAAAGGTTGAAAACGATCTGACAAATACTTTTTGAGTTGTCACAGTTACAAATCAAACATCTGAAACCCCCTTTTCTTCGCTATCACTGTGCTATCACTTTAGCTTCTTTAGTTTTGGTGCAATCTGTCTCAAAATATCACACAATGTGTCTGCAAAGAAAACAATCCATCCAATAATTTTACAGTTACTTTGTTCACAAAACCAAGTGTCTTCGACAGCCTTAGTTTTTTTTCTTTCAACACAGTACTGCTGCTTCATTTTTGGGGCAATTTGACTCAAAATGAAACTAGGTGTTGATATTCATCCATGTAATGTTTCTGTCCCAGGGAATACAATGCAATTATTAATTCATCATCAAACTCTACCATATGCTCAAGATCCCCCGGTGACCTTGAGTTGGACAAGTGATTACAGAAAATGCATGAAAAATGGAAATGGATGGATATCAACCTAATGTCTATGTTTACTATACCTTAGATTCAATTTTTACTTTGCATTCTACAGCAAGCCGCTGATAAAAATTTAGGGACTTCAAGGATTCAACAGTTTTTATTTGGCACAAACAAGGTTTACAGTCAGATTGTAGGCAGTTCTCTAGGTTAGTATCTCTCATCCCCATCCTTGAAGACTCCCAGCAAATCCACATTTTTGCTCCTTCCCCGCTCCCTGCCAGACAATCCGCATCACTGCACCCTCCAGGAGCTGGGAAGGAGCGAAAAAGTGGATTGTCTGGGGCTCACCGAGGATCAGGTTTCGAAACACTGCCTAGGTTATAGCAGAAAAAAAAAGTCACAACCCTATTTAAGCTGTCTTTTGTGATTCAGCGGAAATTTAATACTTGGTCCCTAGTTGTTAACTGAGGGTATGCAACACACACTACTCATATGATCTGTGTCTGTCATCAGTGTGCCAGAACAAGCACTGTCCTGCCAATGCAGCAAAATCAGCAAGCACAAAGAATAAAAGAAAAAGCAAAACTGGCAGGCAGAAGTACAAATTAACAGAAGATTTGAAAACGTTAGACAAACACAATAAACATGCAGAGAGAAGCTAGGCAAGGCTGCTGTTGGCTCATCGGCACAAAAGAAGATGAAGGAGGCTTTTATCCTTCTTTGGCTGAATCCATCGCAGAGCATATTTGGCGAACTATCTACGTTTTTGTTCCAGCTTTTTGTTCTGTTTGTTTGGTAAATGAAAAAACCATTTATGCACAAAAATCATGACATCTCTTGTTTTCCAACACAACCATTTTACTGACCCACCCAAAAACCCAACTCTTCCTCATACAGAGTCCTTTACGGTCTTTTAAAGTGTTACCATTTACGAACAATAAGTCTCATCTTCAGTTATGAGAACATCTCCAAGGTTATTTTTTTTGCCACACTGGATAATTTGTGTCGGTGTTTTATCTCAAAGTCCAAAAAAGTCTTAAAAATCTTGTGAACTTGACTCCATTCATGATCCCACATCTGGGATTCTCCCCAGGAGTTTAGGGACACTGGTGTGCCCTAACTGCCATTAGTGGGTGTGTGCGTGTCACATGATGCCCCGTCACCCCATCCAGTGTCCCCCCCTTCCTCATGCCCTGTGGTCCGTGGGATAAGCTCCTGGTTGACTCTGACCCTGAACTGATTAAGAAGTTATAGAAAATGGATGGAAAAATAAAAGAACATTTCAGGAGCTCTTTGAAATGTGAGCAATTTCATAAAAAAAAGAAAACCCTTTAAAACTAAATATGCAAATGACAACCCCGTGTTACATGGAACGATTGTCTGAGTCCATTTAGATAAGGAGTATGAATCATTTCTTTTAATGTAAAAAACCCAAGTGGTTCATGACATCTGAGTAAGAGAGACAGAGAGGCAGGCAGACATGATTTTGCAGTGCCCAGGGCTAAGGGTTATTTAAAATTTTCCAGAGAATGAGCTGCTGACTGCGGCTGCCATGGTCCCCTGCCTGTTAATCTGCCTGCTAGATGCATCCCCTCAGTCATGTCTGTCCTCAGGAAAACAGACAGCAGAACATCTTTGTTTGTACCACTGACTATACGGCCCTGAGCAACAGAGTTCCTGCTTCCTGCAAGTGGAGGCCGGAGAGGAACCGTGTGAAGATAACATTTCACTACCAGCAGTGGTCCTACCACTCGGTTAATAGCAAATTTAATTGAAAGATGTGCAAGGAAAGACAAAGTTTTAGTACAGATAAAATTGCTACACATTTCTGTTCACACGTCACGAAGCACACCAATCATCCAAACAATTCTAATGCTTCTTTACTCAATTCCCAGAATTGTACTGCGGTGCTTATTCAATGTACTAGAATAAGAATGACGTTTGAAATTGAATTTAATGATGTAGTTTTAATGAGACTACTGGCTCTGAAAGACCTGCGGCGTTCATTATACTAAAAAAACAACAAAAAAAAAAGACTGATCACTTTTCCTGACTGCAAATTCTCTGAGATGCGCTTCGTTCATAAAAATTATAATTATTAAAATGCTACATAAATTAGATTTCAAATGTCAAGCTTAGTCTGATGGTGATTACTGTTTTGCAGATCCTTGATTGGTCAAAATAATCTGATGCACACATATGGAAATGAATGGAACAGTTTTGTAATAAATAATAATAGCAGCAGCAATGCTGTCAAGGATTCAGGGGGTTCAGGCACAGGAGCCTGGCATGGTGCAAGCTGGGAAGGAGGAGGTGGACAACCTCTGGCAGCTCAGGGAACACAGGGCTTTATTAACAAAGCTGAAAACACTACAAAACAGAACAGACCTCAAGGGATCAAAGAAAACAAAATAGGAAAAACAAAGACTAACTACAAAAAGGCAGGCAGAGGACAAAGTACAAAAATAAAACACCAGGTAATTTCTAACACTCTGGAATACACAACTGACCAGCCACATCACTGGCATACAATGAACCACTGAGGAACTGAACTAAGGCAGGGACTTAAATACAGAAATACGGTAACAACACAGCAGGAGTGAAACATTAAACAATTAACCAATCAGGGAGAACACACAAGGACTGCCGCAAGAAAACAGGCAACAGGTGAAATTAATTATTAACTCAAGGAAACTGGGAAATCACAGGGAAACTAAAACTGACAGAAACAGAATCTAATACTGGGGAAATAAGAAAGACAGGTAAAACACAACCAAGGCACAAAGCAAGAAACCAAAACAGGAAACCACAAAATCACAGGAACTAGGAAAACTGATACCAATGAAACTCTAGGCAACAAAATACAAAAACAGAGGAGGTGGGATTCGAACACACAACAGAGCAGTTAACAGGTAGCTGCATGCTCAACTCATTGAGACAGAGGAGCTGGGGAAAACACAAAGGCTGACAACAGGGAGGACAGGATGGCCAGCGACACCTGCTGGCCAAATGGGGAAGGGACACGAAAGACTGGGACAAACTGGTGCTGACCCTGACAAACGTATAATAAAGCGTATAATGAAAAATGTTTTACTACAAGCAAAACTTCCGTCGCAGAAAGATGGATGTCTTCTCTTTTAGGATAAAGACATACACGTATAGTTATAATCAGTTATAGGTCATACTTGCGTCAAAAGCGAATAATACATCATATTGAGAGCGCAAAAATGGAGCAGACACTCCATTTGAATGCCCTTTCTAGCATACTGAAATAATACACGGTGACGTTTTCAGTGCAGTTTTATTTCGGCCACAAAAGGGTTACGGTTATACAACCCTACCTTGTTTGCCGATAAGTTTCGAGCGTGTGTCCTCCGTTTCTGGTAGATCTTCCAGCAACTCCCACTAACCAGATACAGGTCAGCAGTAAGGCATCCCTCCACATGGTGCACCCAGTCAAAATCAAGAGTCCGACTATTTAAAAATTCAGATTCTGGCTTTAAAATACGTATAAGACGTTTTCTTTTGTCTGGGACATATATCCACTTCTGGTTTGGGAAATGCGCGTAGCTACGTACAAGCACATGCCACTTAATCTCCACTGTAGGAAAAAGCAATTTGGTCTAAAACCCTAAATCCTCCAGAGTCAGATGGCGCAAATGTGATCTTTCGACTGTGGTGGATGTGCATCAGACCACTTCTCATAATGACACATTTCTTATTCTCTGGGTTAAACGTAAAATAAACATCGCTGAGCGTTTTGCAGATTTCACAGTCAGGTTTTATAAATAAATGCATCGCTTGAATAATGAGCTGCCAAGTATCCTAATAAATAATACAATAAAATTATGCCAGCAACAAGAATAGCAGCAATGTATTTAAAGGATGGGAATGTTTAAAAGATTGCAAGCGGATGGTTTGCTGTCCCACAAAGGACACAACTAGCTGCTAGAAATGTATAAAATTCTCGCCAGTATCATATTCCCTAATGAGATGGGGAACTGCCGACTCCTCGCACAGAGAAACTGATTGAATAGCAATTCTAATGCTTCTTTACAGAAGTTTTATCCTATGCGTAATTCTATGTGTTATCACTAGTGTTGTGAGTGGTGTTGACCAGCCAGTGATATTTCTGTTAAGATGGTGTTGAAACACCACTGACTAAGGATTAGTGGCTGCCTATGTAGGATGGGTTGTATCACATTATGGATTTTAGCCCTGTGGACATAGAGATATTGGTATAGCACCTGATACCTGCAAAACAGTGACCAGTGACCATGAATGGAAGCCATAATGTTCCTGTTATATAGGTTAAAGCAAAATTGGGTAACACTTTACTTGAAGCAATCATATAAATGCATTACAGATACTTTCAATGCAAGTATTATAAACAAGACTATAAATACTTATAAAAAGGCATAATACATTATAGCCATGTTTATCGTGCATTATGAACACTCTATGAAGCTCTGATCTATAATGCGCTATTTATTCCTTCATAATGCATTATAATGGTCAGTATGAGAATTAAGGATGCTTTGTACTGCATTATTATAGATGAGTGCTTCAAAATTATCCATAATTGTTAGAGGTGAAATATTTCAACGGAATATGCAGTGTTTAGCAGCTTAAATTGTTTTGAATGGAGTCTTCCATGCTGTGTGGCTTTTCTTACAACATTCTTTTAAAACTCAGTACTGCAATGCAAAATAGCCTCCAAATTGGCCAAATTGTCACCCAGTGTCCATTTTGGAGAGATATGTTTTGGAAATTGTGGCGGTTTCCATTTTCCTCTCTTTCATTTTTCCTGGTGAAGAAAGCTGCTGATTATAAATTCATCATCACAGGTTAGCTACAGTACCTGAAAGTCAGAATTATAAAAGCGCCCTTTCAGCGGCATCGCGTATGTTTGCCCTTGATATTTCTGGCTCGCACATTGAGATTCATTTACTCTGTGACCTGTTTGAGGAATGACAAACAGTGATATTAAAAAAACATGAAAAACAGACCCAAAGGCCATGCAGGTCATACGATCTCTCTTGTGATTGCACAAACATAAATGCACAGCGAAATACATACTGTAGGTCCTTCTAGTGAGAACAGGGTCATTTGCATATTTTTTAGATAACCTGGTCTGGTTTTATCTACAAGTATCATTTATTTATGTGACAAGCAATAATAATATTAAGTTAAAAGTTTAAAACCATATATTTATACATTGTATAAATTGTGTTCATGAGAAATTAATAGAAATTTTGTCATTTTTTACAGACTAGGATGTACAGGATATATAGGTTAGGATTTGCAGCTGTACAAATGCTGTGATGGAAACACTGAATTTGACATTACGATAAACACTCCCTATACACTCCCTGAATTTTAAATTGAGTATGAACCGCAGGATACAACAAAATAAACATTACATAAATTTTGTACCTGCTCATTAGTGATTCATCTGTATTTTCTTTGTCAGAAACCATATTCATGATAATTGGTTGGAAGGATGACACACCTGTACTCATCACCCATTTTGACGTTGGAACACTTTCATGTTAGAATGTAAAATAATTCTGGTGAAATCACAAGAAAATGGGTGAGAATGGGCAGCTAATCCCTTTGATAGGGGATTAAACTCTATGCTTGCGACATTTCCGGCTGCTTTTAAGTGCTGAAAATGGACCCCCCCCAGATCCATAATATCTGCACAAAGATAAGAATGTAATCCAGGAAGCCCCAGTAAAGCAGACCACACTGCAACCTGTGCTGCTGAATTGAAACATCCGGTGGAGACAATGGAGACACCATCAAATTTGCAAACGAAAACCCGCATAAACAGCTAGCAGTAGTGATAGAGGTTAATACAGATTAAATATGACCCTTTATTACTATACAAGCCAACCAGTGCTAATGTTCTCATGTTTAGCTATAAGAATTCTGGAAGCAAGAAGTTTTAAGTTATAAAACCTCAATAATGGTATGTTTATAATAACCTGATAATGTTTGAATGAATTAAGCACAATCTTACCACAATCATTATTAAGTATAATTTTAGTGCAGAATGAAGTGTATTAAAAAATCATTTTTTTGCCTATAGAGATGAAGTTCCTTTTATATATTTTTATAAAGTAGCTCTAAAATTTCTTTAGGGTACCCATATTGTTCAGTGGTATTTCAGAGACTGTAACCAACACATTAACTTAGCACTCAAAATTAACCCAGTTCAGCCTGCCAAATGTAGTATTTTATTATAAAAATGTGCAGTGATGTCTACGCAGATTTTAAAGTACGATGTTGTTTTGCACATCTTGCAGTTGATTATTTTTTACCATTTAGAAGATTTTTACAATTTCAAGATCAGAAAGATGAACAAGCTGATAGAAATTTGCTTTTCTGATGATGATAAGTAGGACATAGTGATTAATTGTCCAGATACAGTATTTCCTGTAACTCACAGTTGCATCTGAAAATGTCTGACACTTTCACTGGACCTTGTAATCCACAAATAAATAAAATTAGTAACACTTTACTTGATGGGGCACAAATACTTACTAGTAACTCAGTCACTACTGAAGTACAAATCAAGAACAAATATAGCAGTTAAATGAAATACAAGATGCATCATGATTTATTAATAATGAACAAAAACGAGATCAGTATTTCACTTGCGTTATTCGTTACTTGCTCCTTCAGTAGTTTCTTAGTAGTTCTTTCAGTAGTTCACAATGATTTACCAAATTAACAGAAATAGTAAATATAGTAGCTGCTTGGGATAAAAGATCACAATCTATTAATGATGAACAAACATGAGATCAATATTTCACGTGTTATTCATGACTTGTTCCTTCTGTAGTTCCTTCAGTAGTTCACAAAGATTTACAGAATTAAGAGATATAGTAACAAATATAGTAACTGCTTGATAAAGACATATCATGATTCATTAATGATGAACGAACATGAGATCAGTATGTAACTAAAACTTAGTTTGTAGTTAATCAGTACATAAGTAATATATACTATATTAGTGGGGTCCCCTCAGGGAAAGTGTTACCAAAACTGCCAAATGATATATGCTATCACCACTGTCCAGGAAGTTACAAAGAAGCCAAGTGCAGTTTCTTCATTGGTTTCTCAGATGTGGGAGAAACTTTCCTCTGTATAGTAAGAGAGCTGCATTAATGAATGATATTTTTTATTTTAGCCTTGGTGAGCTTTGGGTTTGATGATTCAAACTTGAATCCAATGAACTAGAAAAACGAAACTACAAAACAGTTACTGAGAAATAGATTTGACCAAAAGGGACTGTGATTTAATAAATTTCAAACATTTTCCCTGCACAGAATCAGTACTATACACATCTGTCATTCGCTGATTCCTAGTCACACATAAACACAGATTTTACTGATGCTTTTAGTCTCTGATATGGACGAAACTCAGGATGCTTTTTACATGTGAGTGAAAAAAACAACTGAACGAACCATTCAACTATAACCATGCTGCCCCCCCTCCCCACACAAAAAGAAAACATCTTCAGTGACGTTATTGTCTAGCTAAGCAATGCTGACCACAGTCTCTATCAGTAACTTACAAATATCCAGTAATAATGGCAAATTACCTTTTAAAAGCGGTGTAATTACTAATATTTCATAAGCTGTCAAAAGTCTCTCTGAAATGATTACCGTTGGCTTGCTGCATGTCCTTCCTGGGATTGTCTGGCTCATACTGCTCATGTTAAGTCAAGTAATTGTGTTAAACAGATTTATTGTATGGTATGTAAACCAGGAATTAGCATTGGCTAACCTGGATGTCATAAAATTCACTGTCAAATCCATCACACAGGTCTGTTGTTATTAAAATCTTCAGTGATTATTGGCCCAGCTTACGGTTCTGTTGTGTAACCAAAACACTTTCTCCTTATTCTTCTGCCAAAGCCAGGAAGGGTCCTCAGCAGTAAACAGACCAGTAGATCAAGTTGAAGATGATGTAGGATCCTGGGAAGATCATGCGGGAGTAGGTGTCGATGGCGTGGGTGTTCTCGATGATGCGCAGACCCCGCAGTCCCTTCTTCTTGCCAGTGCTGGTGGACACGCTGCTCATGGACAGGTGGCCCACCATCTGGCCCTGTTTCTCCTTCTCCTCAGGTACGATGGGGGCTAAGGTGTATCCCGCCAGGCTCTCGGTGTCCGCTTCACTGTACGTCCCGTCGAGCATCATGGTGCGGGTGTGGGACATGCCACAGGTGCAGGGCAGTGACTGTCGGATGGAGGAAGAGGTGTCAATTATAGGCCAAGTCAACTTGGACAAAGACATCTTGAAGCCTTTCCAGGAAGTAGAAGGATGCCAGTCCCTCACAATATAGAATATTACTGGATGATTACGAATAGGAACATTTTTCTTAAAGAGTTTTATAGAAGTTGTACCCTTCCGAAGCTTACAATGGCATTGCTTCAGTAAAATATCATGGTGTATAAAGGGTTAAAAACTGTCAGTCACTTTGGATAAAAATGCCAGTGAAGTAATTAAATAAAAATAATGTACACTGAAACTAAGGACATGAAAATCGGCAATAGATGCTGAAGGTAAGCATTGCTTCACTAATCATTTCTTCATTTTCACCTCAGACTTTCAAGTTTAAAAACGTTTAAGGGTTAGATGAAGAAAGGAAAGAAAAAGTAATGGCTACCTGCTCTCGAAGTCTTTCTCTGATCTTCCGGTCCCTGCGTTCCTGAACCGTGGTCAGGTAGTTGACGGCGGCGTACTCCAGCACAGACAGAAAGACGAACACGAAGCTGACCCAGAGGTAGATATCCACCGCTTTGATGTAGGAGACCCTAGGCATTGAGGCGTTGACTCCGGTGATGATGGTGGACATGGTGAGCACCGTGGTGATACCTGGGCAAGATCCATATAGTTTCACTTTGAAAGAGACATGGTAAGCCTATCTGAGAACCAAAAAGCTAGCAACTTCTCTCCCCAATCCATTATGTTCAGAGTCTTAAGACCAACATCACAGCAAAGGTTGGATTCAACGAATCAGCTAATAATCAAGCCAAGGGTAATGTACATAAGAACATAAGAAATTTACAAACGAGAGGGGGTCATTCGGCCCATCAAGCTCGTTTGGGAAGAACTTAACTAATAGCTCAGAGTTGTTCAAATCTTATCTAGCTCTGATTTAAAGGAACCCAGGGTTTTAGCTTCCGCTACACTAGCAGGAAGACTGTTCCATGCTCTAACTACACGCTGTGTAAAGAAGTGCTTCCTCAAATTTGTTTTAAAATGTTCTCTCGCTAATTTCCACTTATGGCCACGAGTTCTAGTATTTAGACTAATATTGAAATAGCCATTCGGCTGAACATCATCCAGACCCGTTAGAATCTTATAGACCTGGATCATGTCCCCCTTCAGTCTCCTTTGCTCAAGGCTAAACAGGTTCAGCTCAGCTAACCTCTCCTCATAAGACATTCCTCTAAGACCAGGAATCATTCTCGTAGCCCTCCATTGCACCTTTTCTAAGGCAGCAATGTCCTTCTTAAGGTATGGTGACCAAACCTGCATACAATATTCTAGGTGGGGTCTTACCAAGGAATTGTATAAATGTAGCATCACCTCCCTTGACTTAAACTCCACACACCTAGAGATATAACCCAACATTCTATTGGCCTTTTTTATTGCTTCCCCACACTGGCGAGAGTGGGACATGGAAGCATCAACGTACACACTGAGATCTTTCTCGTAATCAGCTACCATTATTTCAGTGGAACCCATAAAAAAACCCATATTTCTGCTCCCTCCATGGATTACCTTACATTTATCTGTGTTAAATTTCATCTGCCAAATATCAGCCCAGTCACTAATTAAATCCAGATCCTGCTCTAGATTAATTAATTAAATCCTCTCTGCTGCTAGATCAATATCTGCTACACCACCCACCTTGGTGTCATCTGCAAATTTAACCAGTTTACTGTATGTATTGGTGTCAATATCATTAATGTAAATTAGGAACAATAGTGGTCCTAAAATTGAACCCTGCGGTACCCCACTATGAACGCAGGCCCACTGTGACATTGTGCCTCTAATAACTACTCGCTGCTTCCTGTCAGTTAACCAGTTTTCGATCCAAGCTGCCACAGTTCCTTAAATCCCTGCAGCTTTGAGATTTAGCAAGAGCCGTTATATATTACAAATATATAATAATTAATGGCTTTAGTGAGAGTTTATGCATTTACTAGTCTAAGAGGATTTCTTTTCAAGTCTCAAGGCACCTAAGGACACCCTGGCAGGTACCGCCCTGCGGTCAATCCAGAAGGACACCCAGGAGAGCATGACCATCAGCGTGGCTGGGAAGTAGGTCTGCAGCAGGAAGAAGAAGATGTGCCGACGGAGAGTGAAGTTGATGTACAGCCGATTGTACCATCCTGGAAGAAAAGAAGGAAGGAAGCAAGCAATCAAGGAAGGAAGTAGGGAAGGAGGGAAGGAAGAAATTAAGAAAAAGAGCAAGGAAGGAAGTAGGGAAGGAAGGAAAGAAGGAAGGAAGGAAAAGTACCCAATGGTTATTGAGTGTTAGCATATCGCTAACAGGTTTTATTAGGATTTTCCTCCTATCAGGAAACGTCGTCCCTCATCTATACAAGATATTCAAAGATGTTGATGCAGGTTTAGTGTGAATATATATCTGCAGTAATATTACACCTCAAACTGGATTATTGTGAATGAAGCATCCACTAGTTAGCTCCTGTAGCTCAACAAGTAGAGTACGGCACTAACAACACAATGGTCCCTGGGAGCGCACATAAAAACTGTAGCCCTTTTCTCTACTGTAAGCTGCTTTGGAAAAAAGCATCAGATGAATGTAAATACTCGTGTGTTCCCAATTTCATTTTCTTTATCTAGATATGATTCTCTTCATACCTGTGCTGCTGTAGAAGGCGAGTCTCGAGGTAGTGTGAAACTTCTGAATGAGGAACTGGGATAGGGAGATCTTGTCATCGGTGCTGAGCGACTCGTCACCACTTTTCCAGTAGAGCATGAGGTCCTCGTCGGTGTAAGCATCTGTAGGCCGTCAGCGACATTGAAAAGTTAGTCTGGCATGAGACAGCGGTCTCACACAACCAAACAAATGACAGGGTGTTACCTGAGCTGGGTAATTCAATTCCAGAGAATAAAAGTCCAGACCAAGTTTTTGTTTCAACCAACCAGTTGAGCATAAAGAGTCACAGTCACAGAGTACTCAACTGATTAGTTGAAACAAAATCCTGGTCTGGACCTTTACTCGCTGGACCTGAATTACCCAACTCTGGGAGTTACTCACAGCTTTCAAGCTCCAGGGAGCAGGTTTGGGAATCCAGAGGAAAGCGACTGAAGTCCATGTTACAAGCAGCTGTGACCGTAACCCTGAGATGAAACAACCATAGCAGTCTTTCATTAGGTCATTAACAGAGAAACAATGTTTGTCTAGGGAAATCGGGGAAAACGTCATGAATATTATATTCTGGTTGTTAGGTTGTTTTATCTTATCTTGAAAGTACATGCTTAAAATTTAAACACAAGTTGACAACAAAAAAAATCACATCAAAAAGGCTGCGACGTTCTAATCCCATCAAAATATTCCTCTTGATAATTAAAATGAAGCAATACATTCAACACATTTACTTAAAACAAATGTCCTTTCTGGGAATTCCTGTGTGGTTCCTGATTTACAGCAGGGAAAAATTAGCTTTCAAGGAGGAGTTACCTAACTTATGCGTAGGTCTTTTAAAGGACAACAAAGTCAGCCATTTTGTAGCAACTGGCCAGCATTCTAGTCATCTAATATTCTTGGAGACTTTTTTGAGTAAAGCATGAAACACGGCTTTACATTTCTTTCCACACATACATGAAAATAAACTATAATTAAATCTTAAGGAATATTTTAGACTAATATAATTGTGAATATATATATTCTAACTCAGCTTTCAGTTTCACTAAAACTCCAGTAGAAAACTGTGAATTGACTTTGTTGATAAGTCTCTAATCTCCACTGCTGAACATTTCATGTCCAGAGTAAAAATCCAGATCAAGATTTTGTTTCAACATGAACAGTCACAGTCACAGAGTACTGAACTGGTTGGTTGAAACAAAATCTTGGCCTGGATATTTTTCTTTCTGGATATGAAATGTACGGTGGCCCCTAGAGACAAAACACACACAAAAGAAAAAGCAGAAACAAAATGAAAATGCGCAGCAAGTAGACAATCCCAAACCGGAAGTG